GTTGTTAAAAAGCGACATCATGGTTTTTCCTGTGTTCGTACAAGACTTTTCTTACATTTTAGTTATCTGAGTAGTTAAATTACAACCTGTAATTTATAATTCAAGTTCTTGAAAAGGTAATCTTTTTAAAAGAATGTATTTTACTAATGTTTCAGCGAATCAGTTATTTATTCCAGGCGCAGATGATGGATAAAAGGAGTTACAAGGAGCACTTCGAATCGAAACATCCGAAAAGCCCACTGCCAGCAGAGCTGATGGAACAGCCAGAAGGATCATAATTGTTGTAGCTCATTATGTATGATTATTGATAGCATGATTCCTTTTCCCGGTTTTTACAGTGATTTTTTTTTGTCCTATAAAAATAATTATGAGTATTCGTGCTGTACGGTGTTCCATACTTAAATGATGGTTTATTTCATTTATTTTCTTAACAGATTTCTTAAAAATTTTCGATTTTTTGAAAGTATATTGCTTGAATATGCATTTTAGATTTCTCTAGCTTTTTCTCAGGTATGGGAAAAGAGAAAGGCAAAGAGGAATGCGAATTTTTTTGTAAATTCTTGATTTCCTATTTTGTAAATTTTTTCCAGTAGATATTCTACATAGCATATACCATGCATGCATGTTCTTTACTTTCATTTCAAGATTTTATCATTTCACTCTCACTATTTGTCACCGAACTGATTGCTTCCATAAATATTACTTTTATTTTATGATGAAATGAGCTGACAAATAGTGCTCTGGAGAATTTCAATTTTTTGATCACATAATTTTTGGTGGAAACGGTGAATAAAATTTATGCTGTATTAGCATTTTTCAGATATACTTTGGCTTACCAGTAAAGAAAATGTCTATAACATTGACAGCAAGACGTTTTTATTATCATTTTATTACCATCTGCGATTTTTAATGTAGTGAGGAAGATGGACATCGAATTGCATTGCAGTACGATTCAATAAGTACTATTACCTATTGAAGAAATCGTAGACTGCATTGAAAGATTGAAGTAAGATTAGGAAGGCAAAAGTTTTATCGACTTGAAATTAATTAAATTTATAATCAGCTTTCGCTTTGCAGCAGAATATCTATGTGCTTTTGTACCGAAAATCTTACCGATGCATGTTCCTTTCCTCGAAATGTTGCCGAGCTTTCTCGTTACAGATATTAGCCTGAAATTTTCCAAATATTCAAGCATGAATGTATCGAATTAGCTAAAAATTTTAGCCTTTTAAATTTTTTTTACTTAGTTTCAAGTTTCAATTTGATTGTGAAGCAGAAGTGATTTTTTTTTTCAATTTTATAATTTTTTTATCAAGTAATAAACTCACAGAGAATTCGTAGCATTGATTGTTTAATTTATGAAATTTCTCTGTTTATTAAAACTTCACGAATAACTTCTAATTTACCACAATTGTATTCTGTATTCTGTTGCATCTTTATTTCGAAATTTCTAAAATATCCTCTTTCGCTAACTTCTTTCTATGCTCTTCGACTGCATAAATTATCATCATTTAGCATCGGGAAATAATTTTAGTTCTTTTTATCTTTATTAGTACTAATAGGCAACTTCTGCTAAAATATTTGTTTTTACATAACACTTTTCCTTGGAATAACCTTGTAAGTATTGAAATTTAAGAATAATAATTGATTTGATTACTTTTACTAGAATTTCTTTGCCGTCAGTTGTGCACATATATGATGACATCATACCTTTGCAAATTAGTATGTACCGGTAATCATTCTTTCTCATGCAAATGATGACAGAGAACAATTTCCAATCATAATCATAACCACAGACGAAATCCGTAATTTTTACAAAGATTTGCAGTGAACTAATTTTTTTACCGCTAACTTAAAATAATTATTATTTCATCTATATTTCTCATAAAATTCTTCTAAATTAATCTTAAGATTTTTTAAGATTTCAGTTATTATTACAACAATTCAAGATAAAAAGATGTAAAATTTGCCTTCTTATATAGTTTATATAAATTCGTTTTGAAGTATTTTGTTCTGTTTTTTTTTTTTTTGTTCCAGATCTGTTCGTTCTAAAAAGTGAACCTGTTATGATCTCTTGTGGTATTGAAGTCCTAATGAATATTTGTCATTTTGTTTAATTTAAATTACAGCATGAATGCTACTAGTCTGAATTAGAAAGTAATTAAGTAAACAGGTATTCGAGTGAATTAAATTAGCTAGGAAATTAATCGTTTCCATTCATTCTGCTTCAGAATATAAGAAAAAAGAACTTATATTTAATTAAATTTAAATCCTTTTCAAATGTCACTTATTATTGTTTTTATATTAAGTTGTTCAGTGATTTTTCAATTTTACATTAATCAAATAAAAAATGAAGAAATGATTAAAAAATTGCTTAAATTGGATGTTTTTTTTAAATTGTCATTTATTTAAGAATTATGAAGATTATATTTTTAATATTCTCATTTGAGAAATTGTTATACCCAGTGTTACATACATATTCAATTGATTGAGTATTCGTACTGCATTGAACCAATCAGATCAAATCCACATTTACCCTCTTTTCATGTGGCGGGTTTGGCATTATCATTTTTTTCGTTACCGTATGATTTTACAACACCATTGTATCATCTTTCATGTCATTTTTACTCCTAAAATATTCAAAATTTTGTTGTGTTTAAAAATAGTAAATGAAAATTGCGATCTGTTTGCTGGAAAAATTTATATTTTGTTAAGAATGAAATTATTAATTTCAGTACAAATGGATGGAACATTACAGAACAAATCTATTGTTAATGAAATTATTTCCTTCGAGTAAGTATAATGCATTTTTCAGTTCTCTTTTTCGAATTATGCTTAGGCTCTTTGAACGGAGATAATTGACTAATCTTTCGTACTATGATTATAGCATATCATTTCATGTTTTGATTAAGCTAAATGATACAATGATGCTAAGCCTAATTTGAATTTCGTAAATAGTAACAGTGTTTTTTTGACAAATCAGTTTAAAAGCTTATTTTTTCTTGAATTGAAATTTGTTCGTAAAATTCATTGTTGATAGTGGATTCAAATTGAATCATGCGGATCGAATGAATGTTTGTATTGATTAGCTTTTCACGGTTTTCATAACATTAGGAATGGGCAACTTTTTGTCCTTCTTGAACACCACCATATTGTATTGTATGTTACTTGAGAGAAAAAGTGCATTTGTTCTTGGTGCATTTTTTAGTTTCAGTATTTTTCCACCGGAAGAATTAGAAGACATACGAAAAGCAGGCATTGAAGATTTGCGTTTTTGCAAACTGATCGAATGGTTGTGCAATGAGATATCGGCACTGTATGGTTTGGATGAGACAGTGCATGCACCAGTTGGACCTGATAATATGGAATTTTTTTTCCTAGAACTTAGTTCAGTATTATCTGAATTAGGTGCAGTTTTTTTCTTGAATTTTATTTATCTGAATTATGTGCAGTTTTTTTTCATGAAAAGTCCTAGAAATAAGTCAGTGAAATTTTGAGGATTTAAGAAAAGAAAATTCATTTATAAAAATGGATAAGACAGTTATCCTAGAAGCGGTAATTAATCGTAATATGATTTCCTCAAACATGCAAAACAAATTTGAGCATGAATCTAACCGTTAAATTTGTATTCCAGAATGCCCAGTGGATGCATTAACACGTGGACCAGTTATGAAACGATTTCAATCGATCGAAAATCAGACTAAACTGCTTCATTTCCTTATTGGGCACATGAAATGCGCTCGGTTGACGGCACTGAATCGGCTGCAGGAAGAAGCACTAGAGGTTTATCATAATTTGCTTTAAAGAATATTTGCTGTAAGGCTTAGTACTGATTTTTTGACTTTTTATTTGTTTATATGACACTTACTTTTTAAAAGTGGAGTTTAAAACTAGTTATGAATTGTTTCATGAATTTTTTTTAAAGAAAAGTGCAGTGGCCTGGGAAAAAAACTAAAAAGCAGTTGAAATTTCTGTCCGGTGATTTAAAAACTAAAGTTTTTATTTCTTTCAGAGTAAAACGCAGGTTTCTTCCCTCTTTTATTTTATTTCGTCAATATTATTGCTCTCATATGAAAAAATTTACATTTATTAAAGAATAATGTTCATTCCATAGGAAGCATAATCAAGCTTTTAACTTCAGTTTTAGATTGAAGTTCAGTTTCATTCTTTTGATTTTTAATATTCTGTATAGTATTTCCTTTTTAATTTGAATCATCTGATCGATATAGATTTCTTTATTTAATACTATATTTTTTGCTGGATACATTATTTGCCCATTATGATTGAAAGAAAGTTTTATAGGGCTCTGAAATATTTCTCGAAACACAACAAAATGTGGCATGAGGCATTTTAAATTTCTTGCTACTGATGAAATAATAATTAAAATTGCTGATAATATTTTCTATATATGAGATGTTTTAATTTCATCTCCATAAATATGAATATTATTTGAAAGTTTGTTCATTTGTAGTACAAGAGTGATGAAGTAATTCACCTGGAAAGTGCATTCATTGCAGTTGGTATGGATCAATTACCTGCTGGTATTAGTGGGAAAGTTTTTTCGACACTAAAGGATTTGGTTAGTTTTTCATTTTGCCTTTATTCCCATATGGACTAATATAAATTTATGAATTTTCATACCCATAACAGAAGATTAAATAATTTATTTTGTTTCTCATTCTTTCATTTCCCAGCGGAAATAAATGGCACTCTTAAAAAAGAAACATCCGTTAAAAGCTATTTGGACGATTCTTTTGCGGTTATAGGTTGAGAAACAGATGGATAAATGCAAAGAAAAACCGCATCCGTTATTGACCGCATCATTAAGTGATAATCAATGGAAAAAAATCGAAATGCTAAACGAAAAATTGGTACAGGAATATCGAACTCGGATTCTATTATTGCTTAAACGTCTTGATGTTACAATACAATCGTTCACTTGGTCTGACCGTGTAAAGAAAATGCAGGTAAATGTTTGTTGTCGTAAGCTCAAGGAGTCTGGTTTCAATTAGTCCATTTAGAATTCAAATTTTGCAAAAATATAAGTGATCACCGTATATTTGTTGCCTTTCAGGATAAATTGCATGAAATTTATCGTCCTCGACGAGAACAAATTGCAGTAACATCAAATGTTGGCATGGATGATTTGCTTGCAGCTACGAGTTCCCTTCTAACAGTTGATAGAATAAATAGTGAAAAAGAAAGAAGGCGTACAGCATCACGCTTAAATAAGGTTGCACATTTATCAGTTTATTTTTTCTTCATTTCAAATTAATCTATTGATTGTTTTTCTCCTCATGTAGAATGAATTTGTATAAATCTTCTCTCAAAATGACTTTGCTTTTTTGTTATAACTTTTCTACTTAATGTACCGTGACATGGGATGGATATTAAAAAGGAAGAAACGTTCCGGTAACCTATAACGTATATCGCAACGTACTGAACTATAGAACCTCGAATTGTATCATTCTTCAAGATTTGGCATTGTTTGCATAAAAGGACGGATAAATTATTATAGTTCTTGTGCATAAGTATATGAGAATTTGGCATTAAAACAAAGCGTTTGATACTGAGATAGGAATTTACCTTTACTTAAAAAATTAGTGCATTGTTTCGAGGATATTATATGTCGTAGTAATTTTTTGAAGAAATAAATTTTTTAGGTATTGATGACCGATCGTCCAGGCGATCGTGGTGGCAGGCCTTCTGAATTGCGAGCTCCTCCACCAGAAATGCCTCCTTGGATAAAGGATCGCGTTTCGGATCGAGATGGTATATTTCTGATTCTGCAAACAAAATGGTTTTCTGTAACAAAGCTTTTATGGAAAATAAGTTTCAGGCAAGGGACGAAGTGATTATAGTGGCGGAGGACGTGGTTATCAGAGCGGTAGCGGTGGATATCAAGGGGGCGGAAGTTTTCAAGACTATTATGGTGGAGGGAATTATCAGAGTGGTGGCGGATATGATGAAGGTTATGGAGGAGGAGGACGATTTAAAAGTGGTGGTCGAGGTGCAGATTTTGAAAGTCAGGTGTGTGGTCACTGTTTTCAAATACTGATATTACTCTAAATAAAGTGTTACATCTAATGTTTGTTATCAATATCATTTCGAAAATAGAAGGGGAAGAAGTATATGTTCCTATATCAATTCTGCTTCTTATCACTAATTTTTGCTGAAGGTTATGAGAGAATACGAAGGATATTATAACCAAAGTCATGATGGCAATCGACGTGGTGGTGGTAGAAGAGGACGTGGTGGATACGGTAGACAACGTGGTTACAGATGAATAAATTCCGCTGATTACAGTGCTTGCTATATCTCATGCCTTGTTAATTAGAAAACATAAATTGTTATCGTGACTATAATGTTCGTTAGCTTTAATTATTTTCTTGACTTTTATTTTCAGAATACTTTTGCGATTTTTTTTGTCTGCGGAAATGTTTTCTCTGCGAAAAATTTGATGCGAGAAAAGTTCTGGAGAGCCATGATAGAGGAGAAATGTCTATAGCATTCAACTTCTTACTATCCAAAGGTTGCATATCCGTTGGTAATTCAAGTTCCATCTTTTCTATGCGCTTTAACATGCAAAGGTTGACACACACGAATTCAACTAAAAGATTACGGAACCACTGTCAATCAAGAAACTGGGAATCCGCTAGTTATCTTGACCTGTCCTGAACAGTTGCTAAATGTCATCAATTCATGTGCGATTGTTCCCATTGATTGTCGAATTTTATTATCACGACAATCATTGAGAACAATCGCACATAATTTATTTTCATTCTTAATGAAAATGAATCAGTGAATATCATCTTGCATTTTAGGTGTCTTTAGATCTTTCATACTGAAATAGTTTTATAATGAACTCAAGACATTTCCTTAGTAACTGTAGTTAGCTGAGTGTAATAATGGCATAATCTGTGTAGTTTATGCATTTTCAATTGATTTGAAGAAAACCATGTATCAGATTATCAGTTGCACCTAAAATTGCCATTATTGTACGTGTTCTTCCTATTCATATCATCGTCATAAATATTTCTAGCCTAACTTCTTAAAAAACTTAGTTAACGCGAAATAGAAACTCATACAGTTTCCTTTTTTCGTTCATTTATTGCTAAAGTTATTGAGCATGCAGAATACAAAAACCTTGAATCATTCTGGTGCAACATTTATATACATCTTTTCAATATACGCATATATCAATACTATATAATAACTCAACAAAACTGCTAGAATGAATCGATGACAAAGTTAAAATGGGAAAAAAAATTTTTTTATCTCTTACATTTAATATTTCGAAAATAAAGACTAATTGTCATTCTATTAACATAACTGGGAAAATTTCTTGAAATTTTCTCAAGTATTGGCTACTATTGTTAGTTTCACAATTTTTTAATTTATATGCCTATTGGTTTTTTGCTAATATTTCTTCGTGCATTATATCGTAAAATATCGAACAATTTACCCTCAACTTTAACCAGTATACGTACGAATAACTGTTGCGCGAGCAAATTTTGCAGTGATTCGTTAACTTCCTTAGCAACGGCTGTAATTGTTAAGCCATGCTCTCCAATTACAATTCGTGCTATGCGATCTTTTTTACATTCAACTTCAGCAACAATTTGTAATACTTCACCTTCCATATCCCATTCCGTTACGGTTATCTATAAAGCTAGAAATAATAATCAAGAATTAACAAGGAATTATGACTCTAAATTATAAATTCTCTGACATCAGAAAATGTATTGAAATTCCAATATTGCAAGCACATAATTATTCATTTATGCGACGGCTTATCATAGCGATTGTAAAATCCAGCTTATCAGATGTAGAGAGATAGAAATACCGAGGGGCATCTACACCAACTATCATATAGCTAAATAATCGTAATTATTAGGCTTCACTGACAACTATCATTGTATCAACATCCAGAAGACTGCCTAAAACTTATAATACGACTAATGGAAAACGTGATATAAAATTTAACAAGTCAAAAACTCTACTACTGTCATTCGAGTAATATGATGACAAGATATAAAGAGTTGTAATTAACGCAGAGCTTTACCATTTGTGTAAATGGTAAAAAGCTTTACCTTTAAGGCATAGGCAATGTAAGATGGTATCCGATTCAGAAATTCTGCTCGAATCGCATCTTGGCATATTATTACCGGTTTTTTTGTAGTAAGTATTTCTTGCTTAAATAAGTGTTCCTAAAAATGATTACAGGTAAATTTAAATCGCATCAATACTGCAGTATTTCCAGGTCAATATGTTTCTTAGATGCAGGTTTTTCCGTACCTTGACTTCAATGTTGTCACTTTCATATTGAAAACAGCAAAAAATACCTTCTGTAAACCAAGTTGATGAAGATGATCGCGTAATACATCTATTCCTTCTCCGGTCAGTGCACTAACGAAGAAAACATCTTGAAAATTCGACCATCCTTTGATATTTGCAAAAAGTTGCTTGGTTTCACCCCAACTACACTTATGTGTAGGCCTTTGTAGAAGTTCTCTGAAGCGATTTAGAGATAATCAATTTTTATTTGGGAGTATTTACTGTTAAAAATAATGTCTTTTTTTAAAATAATATCCTCTGTCTTACTTGTATTTTTCTTGCCACTGTTCATCTTGTTCTTTTTCTTCTGCAGAATGAAGTGGAATTTCACGAGATTCTTTGCGCATTTTACCACACAACCTAGCTAATTGTCCACCGCTATGCCTTTTAACAATAACTGATTTACCACCCACAACACCATTGCATAAAATTCGAGTAAGAGCCAGCAAGTCAGATCTTAAAGAATAAATAATCATATTTTCTATGTCTGAAATTCCAGATGGAATTTTATAAAAATTTTCTTATCTTTTTAGCGTTACCCGACATAGAGATCATATCGTTACCCGATATGTTTATTTGTACTGACATTTGACCTACTTCACCATTTCCAATATAATGATAGAAGATGTTATTTATCCGTTTTTTAAAATCTCTCCAGCTTCGCTATAACTTTTATAAACTAAAAAAATTATGAATATTTTAAGCATAAAAAATAGGTATAAATAAACAAAGTGTTTAATTTTTGAAAGTGAACCTTTGTTTAACTTGATCAATTTTATTCAGTATCAGACTTGAAGGAATCTGTCGATAACGGTGAAGCATATGCAACACACGGTGTAAAATATAATCGGTAGGTATTGTAGCATCATGTACCACTAAAATATGATCCGCTTGCTCCACTGCATGTTCTGGATCTATTAAAAAAAAAATCTTCATCTCCCTATTTTCGATTTTCTTATGCAATATAAAACTGTGATGAGAATTTCTAAACACTGAAACATATTGGAATGCAAAAAAAAAAAATAATTTAGTATATTAAATTACATTGTTTTACCTTTAATATAAGATAACATTCAACTATGATTGGCAGTTATTTAGTTTTAGCTTAAATACTTAATCACAACAATTTCCTTTTCTGAAATATTTAAACCCATCAAAAGTTTAATTTCATATCTTCTTCATTTAAATAACATAAAATAACTTATTTCAATAAATAAACATTTTACCAAATCTGTGCAACTTACCGCTAAGTATTCGTGAGTCGGGGCTTCTTACGATCTCCCTTGCATGCCTAATGCCCACCGTTCCAGGACTATCCACAAATACCAACTGTGATGAGCCTTCCGTATGAACGGCTATTTGATTTTTTTGTGTTGTATCCATCTGGGAACTTACCGCTGCAACACCTGCTTTTACCAATTTATTTGTCAACAATGATTTGCCAACATTTGGTGGACCAATTACTGCTACCTGAAACTATTGAAATTAATTCAAAATAATCTTTCCTCACACATCCACGAATGAAGATCCCATCTTCCACTGCTTCTCTCCAAAGTATTTTATTTTACTGCTAATGGAAAAAAGCTAACTTTCAAACATTTTTGAGCTTTATGCTCCAGATGAACTGTTGATCGAGCTAACTTGAGAAGGGATAGATGCATTTGATAGCAGCAGAAGTTATGCAAACCAATTAAACAAACATCAAATTTGTCCGTTTCCTTCTAGCTACAATGAATTATTCTTATAGAAAAAAAAAGCAATTCATTTCAATCTCTCTCTCTGTAATTACATTCTCCCTACCTCTCCCGATTTTTATATAATTTAAATACGGATGGTACGTCGTTATTTGTACGTCAAATTCAGTGAAGCAATTGTTGCATTGTAATACACTCACATGTTTACAATTAGGAAATTCATTCACTCACTTCAAACAAGAGAAAAAAAATACAGACATTATCTTCTCTTATACAAATATACAAACTTCATAAGGTAAAAAAAAGTAACAAGAAAAAAAGGGCGAAATGAGCAAAATCCAAAGATTTTCATTTCAATTCAAGACTGAACGAAGCATTGGTAATACTGTATCGTAAAAGTTCGCAAAACAAAAGAAAGGAAAACAACCGAGTTGGCAGTTATAATTCAACAGGGTAAATTAAGGTAAATTTAAAATTCTTATATGCTTAATATGATATCGAGTTTCATTATTTATAGATTACAAATTTTGCAAGGTATTGAAAATTTCTAAATGGGCACCCGAGAGATGTAATACAAAGAGATAAACCATAGAGAAGCTTAGATCAAAATGACATGCATACTACACATATTCACAATATGATCAAAATCAAAATCAGAGGTTCTGAATTCCATGAATGGGTAGATGAAATGAACTAAAAAATATCTGATAATTTAGATCACTGGTAGCAATGAAATAACCGATTCATTCAAATGTACAGTATGAAAAATTAATTCATTTGCAGGGTTTTAGCTGTTCTCGGTAGCGCTGACTGAGTGCTTATCCGCAGTTTCTTTTCAAAAGTGCAATTGTGCAAAAGCAATCAACACTATCGATGGTGCTAAGAAATGTATGAAACGCTTCAAAAATTTTAAACCTCATAAACTCAATGTCTATATAAGGATCATTTCAGTTTCAAGCAACAAAATTTACAGAAGCGATCAAAAGAAATGAGTTTCCAATGGCCCAATCTTAAACTGAAAGATAAAATCAACCGCATAAAATACTCCAAAAATTTCTGGAAAACTATTATCAGTAATAAATGAAATCACCCATTTCATGAAAGAGAAAAATTATGGAGAACAAGCAAGATAATACAGTTGGAAGGCATGTGCAGAAAATGAAAAAACAGAATATGATGATATATACATAAATCACTGCAAATTACAAGAAAATTCATAACGCGCAAAATCGTTTGAGCAATAATCGAAATTAAAACACAAATATCCAAACAACGATCCAATTCCAGTAATAAGATTAACCTGAGAAATGAATTTTTAAAGATTCCTGTCTCAGATCTGTATTTTGCTCACATCAGCATTCTACTAACGATCAAGATCATGCTGTTAGTCGGTACAGTTCATTATTTTTGTACTAGCTATTAAGCATGATCAAGTTCATCCAAAAAACTGTGTGAACAATATCTGCCAGAAGCCATGACAAACTTAGAAAAGTCAGAAATACTAAAAATTACCATAACATTTTTTTGAAAATCTTCAGAAAATGAATTCTAATCACAAAAGCCAAAATTAATTTGTACTTCAAAATAGTACTCATATAATGAAGAATAAAACATAATCTTAACAAAGTCAGAGCAACGCAGATATAATTAGACTAGAACATGAAAATTTTGAATAAAACTTTGGGAAAAACACCATTAAAACAAATTACGACAAATCTGGCATTCGATAGAAACTGATTGTTTGATTTTCAGTAGTTACTGCTAATGATACGAGCAGTTGATGAAAACACATTGACGTCAACGTTCCAATTCGACCACCGACTAGCCAATCATCCTGACGAATTTCACCTAATTGTCTGCCGTTCACATCAAATAATTTTATTACAGCAGCATCATCCATACAACCAATACACTGAAATGAATTTAAAATAAAATTTTACCAAAATTTATTGAACTAAATTTAGTTGAAATTATTGAAATATCGAGAATTCTTAATGCAGGTCGTTTTAATTTCAACAAATTGTTTTAAAGCACTGTATTGTAATTGCAACAAAATATTAAAAAGTCGAATTTTTCACTCAATCTCAAGAACAGTCGTCGAAAGTGAAAGAATAAAGATTCTCCGTTGCACAACTGATTCTTTTGTAAGGCATTCACAAAAAGCTCGCAATAAGCAGTTGTTTATTTAAAATTTTCCTGCCAGCACATTCATTGCAACGGCCAGCACAGTTCTTCGTGTAACATTCGATTTAAGATATGGATTTCTGCAGAATTAAAACAACATATGAAAAGAAATACCTGACTATGGGTGTGAACTTCCATATTTGTTAAGCTGTCTTTTCTCGGGAAGCTGCAGGCATTAAAATTCACTACCGGTTCCTGTAATTCAAATCGTCTGGATTAATCATTCCAAACTTTAACTGATCCCAGTTTCAAAAGTCAGATTATATTAAAATATCACACATAAAATCTACAATCTTAAAATCTTAAAATTTTTTATAAGAAAAATGAGAGGCAAACCTTGAACATCCGCGGTTCCCACAAGCGTATTTCGCCATCTCTTGAAGCAGCGATTAGTCTTAGATTTCCTTCAGAAAATTCACCGGTTAAATTATAAAAAAGTGACAGTCCAATAATTGGTTCTTCAAGCTCTCGGAATGACATCGTACGTCGAGATTTATCAGGTAATCGTGGATCGTAAACATTCACTAACCCATCACTTAGACCTGAAAAAACAATATAATACATGATTTAAAAACAATAAGAATTTTAACGATCAAAAATAAACTTGAAATCCTAACAATAGTTCCACTAAATTCTTGAGCTAGTTGTCGAAAAGTGAAAATTTCCAATATCACTGGCAACATCAATAAATGAAAAAATAAAACAAGAACAGCACCGACAGCAAGAAGATTGCTCCCTGAGTTATCGAGACTCAGTTTTGTGACAGCGCAATTCTTAGCACCGATTTGAATCTCTTGCACTGTCTTTTCAGCGTGCGCGTCCCATAAACGACATATCTTCACATTACCGGAAACTGCCATAAGGCCACATTTTTGATTCCAGCTTAAATGGGTAAATCACAACGAAAGGATTGGAATAATTTGAAATAAGCTATAAGACATATTTGGATTGTTTGAATTTATAACTTTAGAGAAAAGCTGTCATCACTAATGCATTTTGTTCATTTTTTACCTATCTCATGTCTCACTTGCGCCCATTGAGAGCATGCCCAACATGCAATCACATTATATCAGTACGAATGATGCGTCAAACATATAAATATCTTGGTTGCTCTTTATCCCTCAAAAAATAATATGAAATTAGTAAACTACCTAAAGACGGATGAGAGGTGTTTAATCATCGGAATGCTAATCGGCGCATCTTTTAAGAGATAAGCTGCTGTTATCATCTGCTGCTCCGCTTCGAAATCATGAGAATAGATGGAATAGCCTGGATCCCAAATTCTCATCAATCCATCTTCACTACATGTCATCAGCAATTCTCGTGTCATTTCATTTATTACATGCAAATCAGTAACCAAGTCCTGAAACAAATTAAAATAAAAGCAAAAACAGTTGCAGAGTAGGAAACAATGAGATACTGATTTTTTTTCATAAAATATTAATATCACTATCTAATTATTTAATGCGAAGCATTAAATAATTAGATAGTGATATTAAAATTCGTTTATTTAGAATATCGATTATATTGAGTATGGAAATACACTAGTCAACAGCATGAAATTCACATCTCATCCACAGTAACAATGTCAATTAGGGAGTAATAACGGATAATTACTAGCATTCTACATCACCCATAAATTTAAACTGCAACTGTAAACTTTGAATCAAGCAAATGTTTCTATACAAACAGTAGGTAGGAAAAAGCATTTAACGATCATTTCAGTAACAAAAAATTTTAGAGCTTCTCCTCAAAAATATGGTCTGTTCAACCAACATCAAACTACTAACATTAACGAAGGGATTATCGTTATGACAGAAAAACTTTCGAACATCATACATCCGCTGCGATTCGCATCGCCAAATGGTCACTGTTTCGCCATCACATGAATACAGGTGAGGCCTTATTTGGCTCCAAGCCAAGCATTTGCTTACTGCATTTGTCTTTACAGTCAACGGATGGCCATCAAAAAATAATCTCTGAAAAAAAAAACCGTGAAAAGCGATAAAAAATCAAAACAGCTACAGCATCGCTTCATTTAGCACAATACAATTACTGAAATAATGAAATAATTGTATAGGTAATACACGGAGAATATAGCGCTTAGGATGCAATCCCACAAATTACTTTTTAAACTTATGAGTTATGAGAAATTTTAACTTATGAGAGATCACCCAATTACTAGCTGTGCTTGTTACAGTAATGTAATCACTATCAAGAAATAACTGTTAAAGAAAAAAGTTTTGAAAATACGACAAATTGATGAACCTCTTCCTTGAGTGCCCGAATTTCCTTCTTTGAAGTTTGCTGCAAACCTTCATCTTTATGTGATGCCCAATCACTAGGCATGGAATGGGTTGCCAAACGATCAGTCAGACCATCACCAACTTCTCCTATGATTAAAAAAATGATAAACGGCTAATTTTATCACTGATAGGGAAATAGTTTAGAGCAACTGACACGTGCTCACCTTATAGAAATATTTTAAAGTCACGAAGTGGTGCAGTTTTTACTGATGAAGTTTCAATATAAAGAGGAAAAGTCGTCTAATCTATTTAAATTAGCTGAAACTAACAAACCTTGTATTACATCCAAAATAGGTTCAGTGAATCGCCTCGTACACCACGGTACAAATTCTGTTGTTACTAGAGCAACTACCGGTTCCCTTTCTGTAGAGGAAGTTTCATCTAGCTTTGTCAGGCTTTTGATTGTAGGTGAATACATCTGGAAAAAAACGAGTCACTGAGAACTAGAAGCTTTCAATTTTGAACGTGAACAAATAGAGTAAGCTGTGTTTGCATCGTGTTTATATACTCAAAATAAAAATATTACATTTCGTTTAGGTGTGAAGATTGCAGACTGATGGAATACTGGTAATTGTTCTTGACGTCGCGAATCCAAAATCAATGTATTTTCTGAATTCCTGCGGACATGATCTTCTAAAAAGGGTGGCGTCGCTGCCAAATCCAATGTTGGTGAACCAACAGTAAATGTTACTGCTTCCGCAGAATTTACTTCAGTTTGCTATAAACTGAGGAGTTTGTAAATCTTAGACAATTTAAAAATAGAGTTAGACTATAAGCAAGTTAGAAGTAAAACAAGTTAGACTATAACTTCTAAGTCCATTCATGCTCCTGATTTAGTGATGCAGAAAAAACACCCGGCTATCAGATTTCAATATTACTAAGCTAACATATATGGATCATGATCACTTTTAAAATACTTGAATTTAGTTTCATCACAAAGATGTTCAAAGAATAGTTCTATCTTAAACCTTTGTTTTTAAATAATGTATTTACCTTGCTCAGCGATGCCCGTTCAGCACAATTCAGCTTTTTTTTTCTTTCATGTCTTGTTGTTGCCAACTTGTCAACGTGCCCAATTAAAACCTTAAATAAATTTCGCCACTTAAAAAGCTGTATCTGAATTGTAAACCTATGAAAAGGAAGAAACGAAATATTGCGTTAAAAAAATCTCCCAAATTATGATAAATAGTACAACCGTTGTTAAAAATCGACTTTCTTACTCGAATAACTACATCTTAAATGAAATATTTTGATACACTACTTGTGCCATTTCAGCGATCTTGTTTACAGGATCCAGAGAAAGCCTGAGAAGTGAAAGCCAAATGCGTTCAGATTGATCATTGAATGTTTTCGATCCCAATAATTCAATTTGTTTAATAGCTTTATTCCTAAAGTATTATATAAAATATTAGAGCTGAAAAGTATATTATAGCACTGTCATGAATTGATGTGTTATAAGTACATTATTATATTTAAAAATAAACAGCCTACTTGAAATTTTCATTGCGCATTTCCTTTGTGGAAGTCAATAGTTTAGCAGAAAAATCATTCAGTGAACTAGTATCAAACATTGACTTCCATTGTGCGTAAACTTTATCCGTAACCACTCCAGAAACTTAAACACGCAATTAATTATATCCAGAAATTAGTGATGAATGATATCCATCTTCGATTGACTTCTTTTTCATTAAAAATAATACTGTTTAAAATATTAAGCGTCATTACCATAACGCAAACGAGAGTTTTTTATACTCGTAATAAGAAACAGAGGAATTTTTTTCTGTCTACATTCAAAGGTGAAACCTTCAGCAAGATGAGATTATTCTAGATCAAAGACTAGGAAAATAAGAACTGAAATTGAACATTTTTTTCCTGCTAAACGGTTGAGTTTTATTAACGGCACCTACCAAAACTCATTGAATTTGATCTTCGAGGCGAATTTAATGGAGCTTCCAAAAAATGGGCTCGCTTTCGAGATGCAGATCTGGAAAAACAATTTAGAGATGTCGAATAGTAACAAAAGCAATGTTTTCCAAATGCAAAATAAACCTTGGAAGACTACGATCATAACCACGAGATACAAATGCATCATCTTCTTCATGAATTGAACGCAAAGGTTTCATTTCCTGTTCACCTGCCTAAACTAAGAAAAATACATTTAGATACCAAAAAAGGAATCCAGGTTTCTATTTATCTGTATCAGATAGATGCGTCCACGATAAAAATGTTTATTAACGGTTTGGAATATGTCCAAATAAAGCAATGAAGTGATTATAAAATGTTTTATGAAGCAAAATTGATTAAAGAATGCGAATAAGACTTCACCGAAAGTTTCCTTTCCCTGAACTTCTTTTGTTCAATCTTTTCATTAAGGTCCATTGACAGACTGGCAAAACGATTTTCAAAATCAATAATAAACCACTGCATTGCTACAACCAATTCAGCACGAACAAGTACTGAACCATCAAAAGTGCACTTCATCGAAAGTTTATCACAAACTTCATGGTCAATCTGTAAAAGGCAACAATAACTTATTGAACTTAAATGACAACAGTGTACTACATATCCAACATATCCACATGAATTCCTAATGTTAGCAAAAATGGATTTTAAACAAAACGCACAATTGTGGCATGTTCAATATTTTCTGACTTATTTCTTACAAGACATCCAATTGCATATACTGCAGCAGCGCGTACTTCTGGGACTGAATCATCCAAAAATTCAAGAACCTATAAAATTTAATGGTGTTGAGCTGTTGAGAACTGTCTAAGTTCTGGTTTGAGTTAGTCATGGAGTTAGCCAATTTGTACCAAGATTTTTGACCATAGTTCCCCTTCGCGGACGTATTTGAAGCATTTGCAAAAACTATGTATACCCTTTCATAAGCAGCCAATCTAATTGCTTGCCACCTGGCGTCATCGTAATCAGCCCAAAGTCGTCCAAGACCAATAAGTAACCATAATCGCAACAATCGGCATTGTCGCAGAGCTGCGTCTGACAGAAGCTCGATGCAAAGTGTTACATATCTATTATCGGTCAATAGTTCTTGCGCAGGTCTAAATTGATATATGGCTTAAGGAAAATGAAAATTACTTGGTAAACATATAGTGCAAGCTTCTGCGATATAACAATTGAAGCTAAAATAACAAACCTATAGTTGTTTTCGATCAAAGCGGCCATTACAAATGCTGGGACAATTTTTTGCCGTGGATTGGTATTAGGATCGTTCAAGATTGTCAAAAAATACATGTACCTGAAAAAAAAAACGAAATTTTGACTCTGCTGTGATTAAGAGTAAAAGACAAAATTTCTCTTATACTTATTAGATCTCCAACATTCTCTTAAAACCTTTCAGATCTTGGAACTTAATACATGTTTTTGAAATCTAAGTCCGCTTCTCTCAGTATTTAAAAGTTGCTGCTTCCATTATATAAGCTCCTTTCTGGAGGTTGTTCGAAAGGTGCCGATTTTTTCTCTTTTATATTTTTTACAAAGTACGACGTTTGTATTGAAAAGTACGAAAAACGTATTCTTCTTTTTACAATTCATTATGATTGTTAGAAACTAATAATTTTATTTTGAGCAAAACTCACCCTCGCTCCTTATCCTTAATGAGATCCACCTGACAACTTGTTTCTACAGCAAGAATTTTTGCCCAGATGAATGCTAACCATGGTCGCAGTTCTTTTGTTGCACTTTGAAGCAACTTAAGAACATATGGGAATACACCGACAGAGAGGGCATGGCCTACGGCCCATGAACCCAAATCTAGAAAGCGGGCCAAAAGCTCCAACGCTTTCACTCGATGTACCTCAAAATGCACCTCAAAACAATGATTACAATCATTTTTTGACAGATTCCATATCAAATTTTAGATTTCTTTTCAAACATAGAATAACATAAAAAAAGTAGGTAGTCTAAAAATGTATTATTTTACAGCAAAAAATGTATTACTGATTTATTCAATCAGTACCTGACTTAGAAGTACTTGTAAAACAACAGGAAGCTGTTGTGGGGGAGTTCGTCGTTCGCCACCATATTTAAGCCAAACTTCGAATGCTTGCAACTGTTCAATGAAAAACCAATTATGTGTGTAATCTGTTTCATCTATTGGTGCAAGCTGGGAACTCACATCAATAAGCACTATAATATGCTAAGTTATGGAAAACTTCTCCAAAAATTAGGTATGTACTGGAAAATATAACAAAAGTATAATTCTCCATTGAAAAAAAAAGAAATTATAGATTACATTTAGATTCTTTTAGATATATCGGAAAGATTCACAACAACATTTGCTGTGTTATTGAGCAGCGATTTAAACTTCACTTATGACAATTAATTTCAACTCAAACATACATTCATGACGAACGGATGAACGTGAGAAATATATTTCTTTTGCGACAGACCAAAGTTTCTGCTTTGGTGTCGTGAATCCTTGCATTTGGCTCAGGCATAAGTCGATGGTATAGTCCCAAGCATTCCAAAGAGGATGACTGTGAACAGATGGTAAAGAAGGACGAGAAACAACATGACACTGATTTTCGCGCATTACTCGGTTAGCCAATACAAAACTTCGAAATACTGATGCGACTAGCAAATCCTGAAAAACAATACAAAAAGTTTCACATTTCTAGTGATAGTTTATAACTTTTTCATTGGAAAAAGCTTAACATAAAAACAAGTTTCACGGTTAATGAATAATATATTAAAGGAAAGAAATTAAGATAAGGATGAAGTATTATGCTGAATAATTGAAACAAATAGTGTGAAACTATACCCACAACAACCGACAAGATTGTCAACAAAGAGTTCCTGAAAAGTGAAATCAAGGGACCTTGTATCGAGAAAAAATCTAAAGTGTACCAAACGAAATAGTTTCTGAAATAATTCTTTTGGAAGCGAACTCCACGCAATCGTATCGGTGATAGCTGTGAATATCCAGTTCAACTCTCCAAGCATGGTTCGACGATCACTTAGCTGACCAGGGATTTTATCAACTATTGTTACCGGGAATCGATCCTGAAACATTGAAACATGATCAAGTACATTAAACAAGAGTACATATTTTAACCAAAAAATACATGAAATATGACTTCAAAGAGTATATACCTCTAAGTGATTTTTTAAGATATACCACAACACTGAAGTTTGGATTGGAGTTAAAATACAAGACGTGAAAAGGTCAGCTGGAAGTCTTGAATCCATTGGAAGTAATTCGTGATCCCCGCACGCAGCTATGTGAATACATTCCTATAATTTATATTAGAATGATATTATAAAATCATGATTTCTAACTGACAATAGTTTAAGAAAAAATTTACTTTAAAGTTTGGCTTCTTCCGAAACCCAAAAGCAGATGCCTTTTCCTCAAGACTCATTTCAGCTTGAATGATAGGTAATGGTGGTGGTCGCGTCTCCATATGTTCATCAAGTTGTTTAACCCATTCTTTTTCGTGATCCTCAGCAAAGCGGAAGAAAGACTTTACTAAAATTCATCATATGAAATGCGACGGTAAAAAGAATAAAATACAATCCTATTATTTAAGTCCACTTCCAAAATAGAGATGGAATCATGGAGGCACTCTGAATCAAAAAACCAACAGGAAAGAAGGAATCAGAAAAGTATCAATTACTTCCAGCATTGAAGAATTTTTCGTCAAAATATAAAGACTATAATTGAATACAACTTGATGCACTTGCATTAGTAACATTTGCATTATTTCTCATAGAAAATAACCTTTCTAGTCACTGCACTAAATCCTGTAACTTACCAGCTAGACCGGCACAGTGGCAATCCCAAACATATACGGCCGGATGACCCATCCACGATTGCAGGTCAAAAATCGAAAGCGGAATGTACTGAAACTTATTCCCAATATTGGTAATTTATTAGTTAAAGGACTTTAAAAAAATTATCATGTATTTGAAATAATTCAGATACCTGAGTGAAATTTTTATTGAAAACCCATATTTCACCATTTTCAGTAGGTCTTGGGACGCCATGTCCATTGTAATGGAATAAGATGCGTTCTTCTTTGGCATTACGTCGTAAACTTTGACATAAACGTCGAACATCATCCATTGTTGGATCATTGGCTGTTTTATACCTGTAAAAAGAAAGTTCAAAATGGGTCAATATTAATGAATCACCTACATATATATATATA